AAGACTTGACTCCTACTCAACTACAAGGAAAGGTTACTCAGCCAAACATCTACTCAACTTGAAGTATTTAAAAGTACATATATTTAAAAGTCTTTAAGTACTCATAAATACAAATTTGAATTTAAAATCATCAGTATATTTCTCTCTAATGTTTAAAGTAATATTAATAAAACCTTGTAACGTTCAGAAACCAACTGATGAACCAATCCGTAAAACCACATGCTACACATTCTACACATTGATCTCTGTTTATTCGCTGGATTGCTGATCGGCCGCCAAATTTGAGGTCACCTGCCGCCTTCTTGGACTCCCCACTCTCACAGAGTTGCACCATTAAAATGCCTCTAATGTCATGTAATTACCATAACACTGTGATCAATACATGTTTATTACTTGTACCTCATCAATTTAGCACCTTTGGCATAACATATATTAATATCCAAGTACCGTATTATTATTATTATGCTCCATTAACACTCTTTTGTTGTGATGGATTTGTATAATAATGTTATATTACATGATTTATAGAATTCATACTGACTGCAATGTGACGTACCTATTTATTTATCATAAATTACAGTGGTCTACAGATGCTATGAAACAGCAACTGTGTGTCAAAGTAACGACTTCATCTTTATTTAAACAGTCTGACATTCCCCCTGAAAATGAGAAATTCAACGTTGTTCGATCATTTTTTCATTTTCAGGTAGTGCACATATTGTTTACATTCCGCCCGGTCTTCTTAGGGAGTACCAACATGGCGGCTGGTGACTTCACAGCACCGTGTACTACCAACGGCCTATCAGCCATCCAGTGAATCAGTGATTCTACACCACTTCTAAAGAATTTCAGCATAAAACAGCACAATAAATAAGGACAGCTATATAGGATGATATTTCTTACGTAGTTAAAACCAAACCAAAAAAAAAAAATGGTGAGTCTTGATACTCTTTACACTTTCACTATGGAATAGAGGTTTACAGTTGAATCTATTACCACAAAGAAACGATGGCTGAATCCCAAACTGCTTCCTAACTATAAATACTTAACTATAAAGTGTTACTCGTAATAACGTCTAAATCACAGCTGTGGAATGGGCCTTGATTATATGGGGGGGTATGAATGAGAATGGGACAGCTTCTCCCCTCCAAAGGAAAAAGAAAACAGTCGTTGCTAAGGCAACACAGTGACTCCCCATGTGCGTAGCTGGATCTCTGTGGCGCAGGTTGACATAAAATATAACATTTGCCCTTTTCTTAAAACAAATTGGGCAATAAACTGGATTTTTATCGTTCCCATATTTCACTACAATAACCAGCACACATTTTCCCATGTTTATAAAATGTAAATAAGACTGTAAATAATTCTGCTTTTGCCAGTGTGCGCTGGTGGCTGGTACCTCCTTGGGTCTGTGTTGGTACCGTATATCCTCACATCCCTGATACCAAATATAGAAAAATCATACAAGTTCAGTTAAAAAAGCTTTAGGAACTTCCATCTGAGTCCATCTGAGTTTCTGTTTTTTGCAACTTAGTTTACATCCCCTAGCAATAAGAATGATGTGTTTTAATCGGATTTAAAACATTTTTTTCAGGGTCATACGGTCATTCGTTCAGCCAATACCAGCCTGCCTCCGATGCTCATGTCCCAGCGGGTCATAGCCCCCAATCCGTCCCAGTTGCAGGGCCAGAGGATCTCCTCCAAACCTGGGATGCCCCGATCCAGCTCATCCAGCATGGCCAACGCCGTAAACTATCAGCAGGTGACTACATTGATTCAAAATGGCAGCCTTTCTTTGCAGTTAACTTTACAGGTTCCTCCCAGAAATGCAGATGTCTTGGAAAAGTTCAATCATTCTGTGACTTAGAAGGTTAAACTTCTGTGAAGATTCTCAGTCATCCAGGCCATGGTCTGTGAAAGTTGACATTTCAGAGGAGGGCTAACTCCTCAGGACAGGACTCGGCTGCTCACCTACAACCGAAAGCTAAAGGACACGTCTGAGGACAACAACGTCCATATTCTGTCCAAAGAAGAAAGATGGTTTGAGCGAGGGGTTAAGAAGCCATCTTTGTTAATCTGGAAAAACCATTACTGAACACACTGCAAAAAGGATCTAGAAATTAGTTTAAAAAAAATGTCTAGTGGAGGATTTTAGTGAAATTTTGAAGAAAAAAAGACACCCTTTAACTCACTTAAAAAACAAACAAACAAAAAAACTGTACCCGCTCCCGAGAGGCAACGCCTATTAAACGCGTGTGAGAACGTGCACCAGCCCATTTCTCCTCGTGCACGCTCTGTTTGAAAAGTTTTACTTAGCATCCCTCATACAAGCTTACAAAGAAGATTTTTCCACTATGTCAGACTTTTGCCACCAGTAAGTGAAAATGGGGACGAGAACGGAGGACGGTCTGACGTCAACATATCAGCAGAATGATTGACAGTTAAGAGGACCACTTATCCACCTAGAAAAGAACATCCTCCACTATACCTTTAAGTGTATTCACCACAGACATTACATACGTAGACGCCTCATTGGACGCCATCAGCAGCAAGGCTGACATGCCTAGAGGGCGGCCATCTTGGGTCAGACCATCATTGACACAGCTGCTGGCAGAATGAATAGGAGACACCTTAGATCTCATTTTAATCATGAAAGACGAGTCTGAGATATTATTACTGTAATCTCTTACATCACACAACTACTAAAAAGACCTAAACAAATTTTAAAATGACCTTTTAGTTAGATTACACATATTTATTCAGATTAAAAACTATTTAAACTGAAATCAAACTGGATGAGATATAAGCAGTTATATATTTAGCAATTTAATATTAATATGATAAACATAAAATTATTACTTATAATATATTAATATAAAACTTTGTATTATTATTATTCAGTATTTTTTTTTATTGTGGTTTACAAAAGAGTGTAAAGTTATTTATTTATTTTTTTAATTTTGTTTTTATTTTTTGTAATTTTCATCAACCTAACCCTAATTAAAGACTTTTTGTCATAAATAAATATGACAAAAATAAATATATATATATATATATATATACACACACACACACACACACATTAACTGATTAAAGAACAAATGTTTGAAAAAGAGTTTTAGAAGAAGTTTAGACAAACTTATGACAAAAAGCCTTTAGTTGGACACAGCTTAAATTCACCAAGGTGAGAGAACATTGGTGTTTTCTCGTGTTCTCAGCTAAACATTATCATTAATAAGCCAGTCTCTTGTGAAAGAGTCTTCCTGAAATCACCATTTTTCACTAAACTTTCTGTAGATCGTCGCTCCCCCTCCTCCTCATCAGCATGTTGTCTTTTAGAAGGCCTGGTTGCTCCATCTATAAGCCGCCTGGCGGCAGATTAAATGGAGGTGGGCTCTCTGTACCCGCCTCTGTCTATTGGTGTGTGAGGAACAAAGGGAGCAGAGATATAACAGAATAAAAGAAGAAAAGGGTTGACTGAAGTGAAACTGTGGTTTAAACATTTACTCACCTTGTGGCAGATGGCCCTCCTGCATTAATCCACCAAATGAAAAATTAAGTCAGATTTGGCGAGTGGCGAATGTTAATTTTGGACACTATTAGAACCGTATTGCATATGTGATTAAATAAAGCACTTTGATCCATCCTCTCTTTGTCTCAGTAAGCTGGTGGTATTTTGCCTCTTTTATTGTAATGCGTATATATGAAGCAGTGTGGTTGAAAATAGAATAAATATCGTCTGCTAAATGTTTGGTTTTCAATGAGCCGATTTTTGTTCTCCCTTGCAGGCCAGCCAGCAGGTAGCAGCTTCCCAGCGCTCCAGCTCCAGCGCCATGTACATGAACCTGGCCCACATGCAGGCGGCAGCAGCAGTAGGGGCAAGCGCCGTGGCCGGCGGCCTCGCTGGCGCCTCGGCCGTCAGCCCGTCCACCATGTCTGGCTCCGCCAGCGGAGCAGTGAGCTCCATGGCTGACCAGGCCAGCAGCCAGGCAGCCGCCAAGCTGGCTCTACGGAAGCAGCTGGAAAAGACACTGCTGGAAATTCCTCCACCTAAACCCCCGGCGCCGCTGCTCCATTTCCTGCCCTCAGCTGCAAACAGCGAGTTCATCTACATGGTGGGTTTGGAGGAAGTGGTGCAGAGCGTCTTGGACAGTCAGGGTAAGGACTTCAAAAAAACATCTCAGGTTTATTTTTTAAGGGTGTTGACAAAAAAAAAACTTTGCTAATCAGCCTGCTTGACAAACAACCAAAGCATGAGGAGTTAAGGACAACACGTTTGTCTTGTTATAACTGTTGAAACGTAGATGTTATATCATCGTATTTACATCTCTGTGCTGCACAGTGAGTCTGAAACAAAGTGTTTTTTTCTGCAGGTAAATTCCGAGGGTCTTTGGCCCGTTTGGAGCCCTTCTTCTGTGCCCAGTGCAGAACAGACTTCACACCCCACTGGAAGCAAGAGAAGAGCGGCAGAATCCTCTGCGAGCAATGCATGACGTCCAATCAGAAGAAGGCTCTGAAGGCAGAGCATACCAACAGACTGAAGAATGCGTTCGTGAAGGCTCTCCAGCAGGAGCAGGTCAGTGGACACAGACTGGAAGCTGTAATGATTTTAATCTGCAGTCATCAAAGCTCAGGAGCCTCCTCAGTTCAACTTGTTTACTCGAAAGGAGCAACAGTAACTGTTAACACAGAAAAGCAATGTAGAAATGAACATTTTCTTACATTAAATGTATTTAGCCTTAATTTGAGCAGGAAAATAAGATGATCTGCCGATGGAATGAATCTTAAAATAAGGTCATTGACTAATCCCAGCATGAAGTGAGTTGCAACATTCAAGACGATTTGTGGCATAAACCTGGATTATCTCCAGATCATGTTTAGATAAGGCCAGTTTCAGTTTAGCAACTTGACATAACTGAAAGCATGTAGGCTTCCTCCGAGTTCCTTTCATAGTCTAAAAGGAACATCACCAAGATGCAGCTATTTTTGCAGTGTGGATCATTGTGGTTCTTGTCCATCCTTTACGGTTGTGACTTATTGCCAAACTGTCACGCCTCAATGAGAACTTTATTCTCACTTCTTAAAAAGCATATTGTGAAAATATGTTTAAATATATTGAAATATTTGAACTAAAAATTAGAAGGAAGCAAAAAAAACTGTAACTTTTTCTACAATGAAGTATGTCATTAGAAGCTGGACAGTGATTGAAATTATTGTATAGTGGTTTTTTATGTCAATTTAATATATATCAAAATTGATTTATTTCTGGTAAAATGATTTGTAATTTTTTTTTTACAAATGTATTCACGTTTAGAAGCCAACTGTCTGTCTTGTATTTTTTTTAGGCTTAGATCATACAAAAATCTCTACCAATAATTTAAATGTTTTCAGTTATTAAACACAGCTCCCATAAAAAAAAAAATAAAACAAATAAGGTCATTGGATATTATGCACTTAAAAGTAAGATAAGCTATTGGTTTTTTTTCTTATTTAAAATGTAAATTTTCTATTCCATTGGTAAAGTGTCCCACTTACCTCCTCAATTTAAGAAAAATCGCTTATTTTAAGAAAAAAAAGACTTCTTAGATGACAGGAAAGGAGTGCATGGGAGGCAGAGTGCGGATCTCATCTCTGAGAAATGTCTCCTTCTTAGCTTTAAGTTTTCTAGAAACAAGAATAAAAAAAAAACATTAAAAAAGCAAAACAAGTGATAATGGGATGAGAAAGTTCTCTGGAAGCAGACTCTAATCCGTCTGTCTTTTAGGAGATCGAACAGAGGCTGCAGCAGCAGGCCGCTCTCTCTCCCAGCTCTGCTTCTACTGGTCCCAACGTCTCCAAGACGGACACCATGATCCGACAGCACGCCCTGCGTCAGGTACGTTGCATCACAGTTACGCTGCATCCTCTCCACAGGAAGGAGGTTTTCATTTACACACATAAAAACATTTAATTGGCTGCAACACTAACCCTGAAATCCCACGTCCTCCATTCCTCTCCACTCCAGACCTCCTGCACAAAGCAAAGCCTAAATCCTTCGCTGTTCCTCCCATCTTTCTCCGCTCTGACCTCCTTGGAGCTCGAGGAGAGCATGCGTGATATTATTATTATACTCATAGGAGCAAAATATTCGTTAATGAACGCTTAATCTAATACGACATATTAGAAAAATCTCCTTTTTACGGGATTAGAAAAATCCCATCAGAATCCAGCATATGTGCAGTTTCTTCCCAAATATTTTCTTTTTGTTTTGTAACGGGGTAACTAGATGTTCTATACTTCCAAACTCAGCATCTCTTCATCCACGCATGAGATAAGACGTTTGTTTTGAAGTTTTCAGAGGCTCTCCTGGAAGTTTGGACTGGATTTGATTAAAATTTAAAGCCTCTCTGTATAAAATAAATCCAATACCGTATTTTCACGACCATAAGGCGCACCGTACTAAAAGGCGCAGTCTCAGTCATGTGTGCCATTACTGTATTTAACACACACATAAGGCGCAACGGACTATAGGGCGCGGGTTTTATATACAGGTACATGTCCTCTATGTTTAAATACCTCTACTGCGTATTTAAAAATAGAGCGGGAGCAAAACTGAGTATGATTGTGCTTTATTCATGTATTTATTACAAAGTATTAATCAAACCCATCAAAGTCATCATCCTCTGTTTCTGAATTAAACAGCTGCGCTAAATCAGACATGCCAGTTTCCCCTTCTTCGCTGTCAGAGTCACTTTCCGTGCAGCGCGGCTCCTCAGAAATAATGCCGGCTTTTGCGAAAGCTCGAACAACAGAGCCAGCAGACACGTTAGTCCAAGCATCTACAATCCATCCGCAAACGGTGGCGTAACTTGCCCAGCGCTGCCTTCCACTTTTCCTGAAACTGTTGTCTCCGTCTGTCATCCATCGCTCCCACGCCGCTCGCAGCCTTACTTTGAACGGCCGGTTCACACCGATGTCGAGCGGTGGAAGTTCCTTTGTCAGACCTCCCGGGATAACGGCGAGCACAGCGTTCATTTGTTTCACCATGTTTTTCACATCGGCTGTGAGATGGGCACGCATGGAGTCACAGATTAACAGCGATGGTGATGCGTGGAAAAAACCACCTGGTCTCCTCACATTCACCTCCCTCAGCCACTCTTTCATCATCTCCTCATCCATCCAGCCCTTTTCATTTGCCTTAATAACGACTCCAGCTGGAAAAGTCTCTTTAGGCAAAGTCTTTCTCTTAAAAATCACCACAGTTTCTGTCCATTTGCGTGGCAGCCAATCCACGCCCACACTTCCCCCTTTAACATTCTCATGGTGGTCTCAAAAGTCGCAGTTACAACACACATAGGGCGCACCGCACTATAGGGCGCGGCGCACATTTTGAGGGAAAAAAAAGACGTTTATATGCGCCTTATAATCGCGAAAATACGGTAACTTAATTAAACGGTCTTGGGTTTTGGGAATATATTAGAATTATGCTATAATCTGTAGCTACAGATCCGTCGGTACTATATTTTAATTTGATGAACCGGATCTTCTTGCCGTTCGTTTTCCTACTTGGTGCGATTACAGTTGTGGATCTTGAGCAGGCCGGACCAGAGCGGAGCAAAAATACATCGGCTCTGTATTTTGACTGTGAAGGATGGAGAAGACGTGTGTGGATGGTGAGGTGCGGCGGAGTAGCCAGTTCTCATTGATTAATATGTCAAGTACGACGTACGTAAGCGGAGCGCTGATGGAGTATGTGGAATCTCTGAGTTAGTTAGTAGGTTTGCAGCATTTTAGAAGATCCTAAACAAAATGTTCTTATAGCGGAACAATTTAGGAATTGTCTCTTTAAAGCACCTTGAGATGACGTGTTGCGAATTGGTGCGATAGAAATAAACTCAATTGAATGGAACAATTGAAGTATGATTGTCACTGCAAAAACAATCTAGAAATAAGTAAAAAATATCTTAAATTAAGTGTATTTAGACTTAATTTGAGCAGGTAAATAAGATGATCTGCCAATGGAATGAGTATTTTTATTCTTAATATAAAATAATTAGATAATATTTACTTGAAATAAGACAATGCAATTGTTTTTTCTAATTTTAACTGTAAACTCTCTTGTTCTATTGGCAAAGTTTCTCACTTACCTCCTCAATTAAATAAAAAATGCACATTTTATGAAAAACGTGTCAGAAACCATACGAGTACATCGCTGCCTAAACTGAACATAAATATATTTCACTTTATGAATAACTGAAAGTGAATGCAGCATATTTCTTATAGCTGCATCGTAACCGCATTCAGATCAAGTCTCACTGACTTTATATTTATCAAGCAGGTTCATAAAACATTTCTCGGTAAGTTCGCTTTTTTGAAAAAAAAAACAATCTGTCCAAGTTGTTACAGCTGGGAACATATTCTCATCAAATGTTAGAATACAGGAATCATTGTTTAAATCGTGGTTATTTCCTGTTTTCCTTTTTATTATTCATTGTTTGAATTGTAGAAATGTGACAGAAAGGGGAATGAATGTGAAATCAGAGGTGAGTGGAAGGATGTTCCTCCAGTAGCTGGTTTACATGCAGACGACCCCTGATTTAATCAGGCGACAGCAACTAGGAGGAACGTTGGCGCTTCGGATGTTTTACAGAGCTGACTTGCAATGTACAGAAACGGGTGGGGGAAGGGGAGCAACACGGTATACGTAGACTTTCTCTCAATGTAAGTGAAAGACTTTACAGTGAAAAGTATTTTTGGTTTTAGAACTAAATCTTTAAAGGGATGATAGAATGGTTCTATAGGGTATCTGGTCCTTCAGGTCTCTAATAGGGTGTGTAACATTGGTTGGGCTGAAAATGGCATCTTAGCTGTTCTATGAGCCCTAATGCAGCCTGGTTAAAAGCCCTAAAATGAAAGGACAGGTTTTCTTCCTTTTATGGTATGATCAGGAATATTTAGATGAGCTGTGCTCTGATTGGTTGGTTTACAACGAGCGAAGCTGCTGAGCAAAGATGTATCATAGCAACAAGCACTCACTCACTGAAACATTAGATTGTTGATATGGTAGGGTGACCAGACGTTCTGTTTATCCCGGACATTTCCTACTTTTCATAGCTAAAAAATGTCCGGGGGGAATTTCAGAATATTCTGGGATTTTGGTCGACAACATTGCAGCATGTTGTGGAAACACACCGGGCACTCGAACCCGACCTGTACGGTAAGGGGAAGCATACTGTCACCAGATCAGGTTCAGACCAGCCCCGAAACTCACAGCTTGGTTTGAATGGCCGGTCTGGTCCAGTCAGCGACCCAACAGTCCTCCTTTTCAGAAACCCAAATCTGGTCACCATAGATATATATAATTGCTATCAACAGCTTAGCGGCAGAATCACACTTCCAGCTTATGGTTGTGATGGCCTTACAGTGGGACCAGCCCCTCATTTCAGTAAAGACGTTTAGCAAATCCTGCTTTGAAGTAGGGATGGAACGGTTTATAAAAACCGTCCGAACCGTTCGGTTCGACTGTCTCGGTTCGATTCGCGTGTGTTTCGTTCGGTTCATGCGCTGCTCCTTTTTCTCATAGGCGAAGCGATTACACTCCAGAGCAGAAGGTGGCGGTACTGCGTCCAAAGCCAACCGCCAGTAGTAAACAAGAAGAAGAAGAAGAAGCGAAGCAGCGTAGCCGGGTGTAGCAGAAAAAAATCAGTTGTTGTGGAGAATTGTGTGGGTATGGCGAGTGGGAAAGAACAGGAGTTGGAAGACGCGCCAGCAGCACTTTATAGGTCTGCTGTATGGGACCACTTTGCATTTAGAGTGACCTACGATGACGGCGGGAAGAAAGCTGTGGATAAAAGTGCAACAGTGTGCAAGCATTGTGCAACACGTTTGTTTATGCTAACAGCAACATGACCAACATGTCAGGCTAACAATCAACATATACCAAACAGAAAACAGTGACCACGAACCCGTGAACCGAACCGAACTGTGGATTTTGTGAACCGTTCCACCCCTACTTTAAACTGTCCAAGATTTTGAAAGCCTTTTTCGGTAAAATGCTTCAAGCAAATGCAGAGCATCAAACTTTGCAGGGATCCTCTGATAGACAAAAATAATCCATGCCTGTCGAGATCTTTGGGAAGACTGTGAAAATGTCTTTACAGTCTGTATGTGAATGCATGTCAATTTTGGGGAGTGAAAAAAGTACAGGCCAGAACCAAATAAGGCGACATCCCAGAGTTTATGTCAACTCGGTGCTTCGTTTGGATTCTACCGTTTTAGGATGAAAGTTTAGAATTGCAGAGAAAGGAGGAGTTGATGGGGTTTGAACTTCTCTGTGCATCCATTTCACCCACTGAACTATCGTTATTCATCTATGACATTAGAAACTCTGTTTTGCATTCTATGACCCCTTTAACAAACAAACATAAGCTGTGAAATATTGAACCACGAACCAAAAGTTGTTTCTGTTCGGGATCAAATGTCCTCCTTTCTCATCACAGGAATCTGCTGGAAAATTCTAAGTTGGATTTCACTTTCCATAATCTGCAGGAATACTGTGATGTTACTGAGATGTAAAATGTTTGGGGTTAAAGGTATATTGAAATTTTTGAAAAGACCCGCCCTCTCCACTTTAAACAAAAATGCACGTGCTCTACCCTGTACCTGCTCTTAAACGTGTGCAATAGCGTGGACAATTCCATTTCTCCTCGTTTTACTTCCAGTGATGTGAAACGGATTTCTCCAAAAAGCCAAACTTTACCCGTCAAGTAAAAACTTTGCAACTGAGGTATGAGTGGCAGCCTTTGCTTTCAGTGCATGAAAGAATCTCCCAAAAACACTCTGGTCTTGTTTCTCTCTTCTGAGGCTTTTCTGTTCTTCTTATAAACTTCCTCTCTTACGACGAGAAAAGCTTCATCCTGACTAAAACGATTCAGTTTATAGAATTGAAACATGGAATAAAAATCAACATCATTGTCTTTAAATTTCTTTGGTTCTTATCATCTTTATAGAACACGTTTATTTAGAAATGAAATCATAAATACATTATTTACATGTATTTATAATTTAGTGTAGTAATGTTTGTTGCATTGTTAGTCTGGGGTCAAAGGTCAAACATTTTGGGAAGCCCTAATGCTTTATTGCGTCCGTCTCCAGGCTCAGCAGCCGCAGGCCTCTCTGCAGCGAGGTCTGTCCAACTCTGCAAGAGGCGTCCTTTCCAACTTCGCCCAGGCCTCCCAGCTGTCGGTGGCCAGCAGCCTGATGGGGATGAGCGGCGCCAAGCACTGTGGCAGCGGCGGCGGCGGCAGCAACAGACTGCAGCACGACAGCCGTCGTCAGATTTACAATATCCCAGGTAAG